GGCAGCCTTGCCCAGCTCACAGCAGGTGGAAGGCAGCCGTGCCGGGCGTGAAGGGCACCTCACTCCTGGAACTGTTGGAAAGGCCTGAGCGAGGGTCAGGGCCCGGCAGCCAAGAAGCACAGGAGAAGGTGCCGCGCACGGAGCTCCAGTTCTCCCACCAGCACGTGCAGCTGTCCGTGATTTTGACGGTGGCCATCCTGTCGTGTGGAGGGGCTAGGCGTGCCCTGGTGGCTGAACATGCCATCCTCCGGCCTCAGCCTCCCAAGGCACTGGGATTACAGGCGTGTGCGACTGCGCTGGCGTACAGGGGAGCTGGTGCACACGACGTCCGAGGAGGGGAGGGCCCGCAGCGGGTGTGGCGCACCTCCGGATCGTGCCAAAAAGCAGAGAAGAGAGCTGTGGGTGACAAAGAGAAGCGCTGATCCTGACCCGTGTAGTCCTCTGTCACACATCAGTGACTGCTGCTGTCTCTCCAGACACCCAGGCACAATGACTCCTGAGCCGCCACTCAGCACCCTGCCTGTCTACACACAGAGGTGAAATCACTGCCCCACGTGCCTGCCCTGCTGGGCTTCCTGTCCCACTGTCCTCAGCGTCCCGTGTGCCATGCCACACACGGGAGCAAGCCTCAATGTGTCCTTCCAGCCCCTCCTTACCCCCGGGACAGTCCTCGCCCTTCCGCACGTGGCCTGCACGCAGCCTCCCCAGTGACGAGCCCAAACAGCCTCCCCACCTGCCCAACCCATCATGTCGGTGGTGCAGGTCACCTGCCTTAGTCACCCAGGTCCTGGGGCATTGCCTGCCGGGGTCAGTTATTGATGGAGCTGCTGTTGTCCTTGTTCCCAGTTCCTTCCAGACACTGTAGAAGGACCTGAGTGATCTACTGACCAGGAGGAAGCAGGTCGGGTCAGCGAGGAGTCACAGATTTCTTTAAGCATCCAAGAATCCACCTTCCCGCATCACACGCCTGCCCTGCCGGGGTCCCAGGTTGGCAAGAACCCTGGGTGACATGCTCCTCCTCAGATGGCCTTCTGAAGACTTGGAAACCGGGGAAAGGCACTGGGCGCTGTGTGCAGAACGCTCGTGCAGAGCAGCTAGCTGCAGGTGAAGCAGGGAGCCCAGGGCCCGCTGCTCCGGTGTGCAGCTCCCACAGGAGGAGGCCACCCCTGAGGACCTGGCCACATCCCTGGGCTCCAGGCACAGGAGCAGGAACCCAGCCCGAGAGCAGAGAGCCGCTTCTGCCTCCACCCTGCAGGGGGCACAGAAGAGCAGGCACCTCCTGTCCTGGGCACAGCAGCCTGGGCGCAGGGGATCAGGGGGGCCAAGGTCCTGCGGCTGGTTGCTCCCACTTTCCTGCAGCCTTCCACCACGGGCGGAGCAGAGCCACTGACAGCTTGAAGTGGGCTGGGGTCCCTGGCGGCCCCAGCACCACTGGCTGAACACAAGCCACACTCCTGCTCCGCAGCCGGGCCAGCAGGTCTCCGGTCTCCACCTCAGCTCTGGGACCCTCGGCCTAGGATGGTGCAGCCTGGGCCTCCACTGTCCCCACACTGCCCTCAAGCCCACAGGCCTTCAACCCAGAGGACAAGTCGGCACATGGAGGAGGCGTTTCCAGGCAACGGCGGGAGCTCTGGGTGCAGCCCTCCCCCCTGGACTCCAGGGACTCCCTCACACCTCCACTGCCCTCCCTCTCAGGAAGTACCTGCCTCCCACAGATGGCCCTGGTGGCCCAGGGAGGAGGCAGCCAGAGCCCAGGTGCCCCTGAAGGCCGCAGGGCAGGTAGTGGGAGTCGCTGCCCAGCGCTCTGAGGAAAGTGAGGCCTGTCCAGCTGACACCCAGCCTGGACTGGAAGGAGCCCCTCTGGTTGCCACCAATGTGTGCCTGCCTCAGGAAGCCAGGAGCCCAGCAGGCGGGTCACACATCCCCACAGCCTGTCACGGTGGGAGGGACAAAAGGAAGGAAGGTGGACGCTGGCCCTTCAAAGTCAGCCCGGCTCACACAGGCAGTACTGTCTGCTGACAATGGTGCTATCTCCAGCCCTCCCTTCCCGTGACCCAGAGGCGTGGTTCTCCCACTCCTGGGTGTGCAGCGGCACACATGCACAGAGACACACATGCACACAGACACACATGCTGCACACACACGCACACTGGTGTGTGCACACATGCATATGTACAGACACATGAAGCTACTCACAGCACCATGTGTTCAGGTGCACAGACACACACATACACATGTGTGTACACACAAAGACTTGTGTGTGCACATCAGCGATAGGCAGTGTTTGTGTGTGTGCAAGCTTTGAAACATGCTCATATGTGCATACATACACCAGCACACATATGTGGAGCACAAGAAATATGGCTGTGTGCACAGCCTCACACAGGTACACATGTGTTCACGTACCATTTTTGTGCATGCCAGCTCACAGAGCATGCACATGTGCACACACAAATACACACCAGCAATAAACAGATGCACACATGTACTTACGATTTCCTTGAGGCTGGAGAGACACTCCGGGTTTTTACCCTGGGCCTGCCTGGCTGATGACCTGCTGCTGAGCACCAACTTCCCCGCAGCCCATCGAGAGGAAGAAATATGGAACCATTATCACACCATTAACTCAGAGCTAATGGTCCAGGTTCATCACCCCTTTTTCCTGATGCGACATAACCGCATGAACCTGCCCCGTCCAGAGACTGACTCATCAGCGGCAGCCACAAATCAGCCTCGCTGGGCGAGGGGAAAGCCACGCCTGCTCACCTTCTGGCTCGGAGGGCAGGTGGGCCGCGTTGGTCAGGAGCTTGGTTCACGGTTCCAGTCAAAAAGCACAGCCTCTGTTGGGTGGAGCTGTGTGCAAGGTTGCCTGGCGGGAATCCAAGCCACGCTCCCCGAGTGCAAAAGCGAGGACGACGGAGCCAGCAGGCCTGTGGGGGAGGCTCCGCCTGTCCTGTGGTGTGGCCCTCTGCTCTCGGCAGGTCTTCGCAGTGTCCTAGCTCCTGTTGTGACCAGAGGGACCACGTGGAGCAGCCAATTCAATAAACCAGGACCCTCAGAGCCCTGGCTCTGCTGGCCACCCGGAGGTGCTCGCTGTCCCTTCCTCCCCACGTCCTTCACAGGAGAAGGACACACATCCCCTCTGAGAGGAGCGACGTGGGAACCCTTAAAGGAAAAGGCCTCCTCTCCCTTGACCTTTGAGAGCCATCATCCCCGCCCACCCACACCTCTCCTGACCACAGATGGGCCACGCCTGTCTGTGCCGGTGCCTGGCACACAGGAGAAGGTGCCCGCGGGCCCTCCCAAGAGTGGGTGCTGGGCGCAGAGAAAGGCAGAGACGCAGGCGGGACCAAGGCAGGAGAACGGTTTCCTGGGTAGATTCTTCAGAACGTGTTAGAGTAAGGAATCAGAAAATCGCAAGAGAGAAAAATCGGAGTTAAAATGCAATCCGACGGTTAGATGAGGGCTCTGGTGAGGAGAAGGCTGAGTTGTCAAGTCACCCCAAGAGCAGATAGAGGGTCTGGGCGCTCATGCCCCCACACTCACAAGTGAAGCCTCACTCCCACGCGAGGGTGGCAGGAGGGGCCTTTGCAAGGAACGAAGTCATGGGGAGGTGCTCTTGGGTGGCATCAGTGCCCCATGAAGACCCACGGGAGGACAGCGTGAGCAGAACACAGGCCCTGCAGACACCCGCCCTGCCTAGGGCCTCTGGCCTCAGAGCTGTACAGAGAGAATTTGCTGTCCCTTCGCCACCAGTGTTGGTACTCTGCCAGAGCAGCCCCCAGAGCTCAGCCCCTCAGCCAGGGGAAGGCCCCCAGGAGGGTGTGCTGTGCGGCCCCTTCCTACCAGGAGCAGCGCTGGCCTCCCAGCCTGGGCAAGGAGCCGCAGCACCAGAGACACAGGGTGGGCACAGAGAGGTGGGGAGCATGGCGGCGACACTGGAGGTCCCGCTCTGCCTCCTGCTGACCAGGGCCTGAGGCTGCAGGGGCAAGCTCACGATGTGGCAGCAGCCCCCGACTTCCAGCCCCGACTTCCAGCGGGTGGAGCTGGAAGGGAGGGGCCGCCCCTCCACTCCACCTCCCCAGGCACCACGCGCTGCCTTCTGTAGTGGACTCCAGAGCTCCCAGAGCCCACTTGGCCTGCGATGGCCATGGGCGGTCAGCTTGTCAGTGAGGCTGACTTCGTTTAGTGAGACTTACTTTGCTTTGGAGGGCTCAGTCTGTGGTCGACTGGCTCCAAGGCAGAACCACCATGGCATAGGGGGCTGCTCAGCTGGTAGAAGAATAAACTGCAGGGCACCCCCCCCACTGCCTCCAACCAGGTCCACTCCCCGTGCCCGTTCAGCCATGAAGGGGTTACTGCACTTCATGGACTCATCATTGCCTGAAAGCCCCGCAACCCTCTCTCGCGCCTTCAGATCCAGTGGCGTGGCTGACCGGCCCACCCACCGACGGGTGCCGACCTCTCGCTCAGCTTCCCTCAGGCGACCGGCTTGATGGGTCATTTCTCTGTAAGAACTGCCACCCCTTAGGGGCTCAAGACGCCTGGTCTCCCGCTCACAGCCCAGGGCCAGGAACCAGCACAGGCTGATGGGAGAGGCCTTTCCTCCCTCCACAGGGGCTCCCTGGGAGCGCTGGACTGGGCCTGGGAGGCCAGGCTGGCGTCATGCCACCCATGGGGTGGACTAGGCCATGGCTGGGGCACAGCTCCTCTACCCCCGTGGCCTCACCCTGAGAGCCCCTCACCTGGGGGACAGAACAGGCTCTCCATGGGCAGAGAGGACCCAGGAACAACAGCAGAGGCTGCCCGAGGCCCCTCAGGGCCCAGCCCAGCACTGCACACCGTCCGCTCCACTGCGTCCCCAGGTCAGAGTGACCACAAGACCACCAGGTTGGAAAGGAGCTTCAGGGAGGATCAGAGCCATCTCTGCAGAGCCCCCCGCTTGCCCCTCACGTGGTGTGGATGCCATTCCCCGGGTCCTTGTCTCCTGGTGACATGGCCTGAAGCCAATGAGGAGAGGCCCTTCCACACCCTCTTGGCCTGGGAGGGCAGCCAGGAGGGTTGAATGTGTGCTCAGCGCCCCGCTCTGCAGCCTCCCAGTGTGACCCGAGGTGACCAGGCTTTCAAGCCCAGAGTCCCCAGCTGTGGGAGGACGAGGGTGGTGCACACCTCCTGGGCTGTTGGGGCTCAGTGAGCCCCTGTGCCAGCCCCTGGGCAGGCAGGCCTCCACCACGGCCAAGTCCTCCAGGGGAGTGCTCTGGCCACCTCCTCAGCAACGTCACTCCAAATACACTCACCCTGATTCCCAGTGGGGATGAGCCCACTTGCTTTTGTTTGGGGCACCTGCCATGAGCCACTTGGCCAGGTGGGGTGGGACATGTGGCCCTGTCTCTCCCCGCCCAGGTGCTGGTGCTGGAGTGGCAGAAGGCTCTGGCTCACCTGGGCCTGTGTAGCTGGGCAGTGGTGTAGCCTTCTCTGTGCTCCCCCTCGAGGTAGGACTGACCCTGTCCTCTCGGGACTCAATCCCAGAAGTCCCTGAGCGCTGGGCAGAGCGGCACGGACACTCTGGGCTTGTCTGGCTCGATCACTGCGCGATGCAGGAGATGACGGAAGGTCTTCCCACCCCTCCCCTCTGACCTCTGAGTCCACCTTAAAGATGCAGCACTTTATCACTTATTTATATTGCTTTATGCGATGTGCTTCCTGTGAGCCAAGCCCAGCGTGGCGAGACACAGCCTGCATGAATAAATGAACACCCAGGAAGCCCCAACCCCGCAGACCGCCCGACCGCCTACTGCCTGCCTGCCGGCCGGCCTCGAGGATGCTCATCGACCGCCCCTGCTCTCGACCCCCGGCCCCTGACCTCTGTCCTTGGAGAGGAGGGTCACGTCAGCAGCTTTCCTGCAGCCATCGGTAAACCTTGCTGAGTTAGACCCTCATTCCTCTTCCTGATTAGACCTTCCGTTCTGTTTCCATCTGGAAAAATGTCATCGGTTCTGGTGATTTACTTCCCTCGGGTCTGTCACGTTGCCCCATAACCTCGTTCCCAGGGACTTCAATCTCTCAGCGCCTGACTTGGACTTATTGTGAAAGATGTCCTCAGAATAAGAATCGTCTTGCTGCTCTGCGAAGACCAGCGCTCAGGGCGGCCAGCTGGCTGCCGCCAGCCTCCTGCCCACTGGCCGAGCTCCAGGTGCCACTGTGTCTCTGGTGCCATGGGAAGGGGGGTGGCTAGAGGACACTGAGGGCCTCAGGACTGTGGTGGCAGGGTCACACCTTAGCTGGGCGAGGAGGCCACAGAGCCACAGAATAGCAGGACTGGGACCTGGGAGACCCGGCTCACATGGAGCCCCACCTCCTGCCCAGCGGAGGCACAACCGGGCTCTCCCAGAGGTGCATCAGGGCCTGGAGCCCAGAGGCCCACGTCCAGCCAGGAAAGGAGTGCCCAGTCCTTTTCTAGACAGAGTGGCCTAGCTGCTCTGACAATGCCACTGTCCTCAGGAAACGCATCAGGAATGTCAGCAGAGCCACCCACCACACCTCAGCTCGCAGAGGTGTCTGCCACCAGCCGGTGAAGCGATCCAGGCCCTTCACACCACAGACCTTGCCAGAGCCAGGCTGTGAGTCTGCGTGCCCTGGCTCCTCCCACCCCAAGACCAGCAAGGAGCACCGGCAGGATTTGCTGGAGGGACCGATGGACGGACGGATGGACAGATGAGTGGGTGGGTGGGTGTTCTGCGGTGAAGGCCTCCTTGTGTTCATTTCCAGAGTGAGAGCCCCACGGTGCTCCCCGCTGCCCCAGTGTGGCTGTGGGCAAGTGCTCATGCTTGTCACAGGCAGCTTGGCATCCAGGGCCTGGGGCACTCAGCACAGGCATGTGCATAGGAGGTGGCTGTGGGGGCAGCCAGGGCGGCAGAGGACAGGATCCACCATGTGTGGTCAGCTCTGGGACCATGGTAAAGCAGATGATGATCCTGCAGGTCTGGGTGGTGCCAAGGCCTTGCCACAGGTCCAGGACCACACCTGAGTGACAGCAACATGGGACACATCTGCCTGTGCACACCCTTTCCTGGGATCGAGGGTGGGCTTGTGGTATAGGATTCAGGATGCTGGGAGATGATGATGAGGGCTGACGGTGGGACGAGCGAGGGTCCTGCCCCACTCAAGGGGACTGGAGAGTCCTGGGAACACTGTTTGAGGGGACTCCTGAGTTCGAGGGGGCCAGGGCTCCTCCACCATCAGCAGAGTGTGCGTGGAACAAGGGTTACCCGATGCTGTGGCCCCCCACTAGTTGCAGCCTCCTGCTTGACCAGCGTGAGAGGAACAGGGCTTTCCCAGGTTTATTTCCGCCTCTTACATTTTTAAAGACTAACTGTGTGTTCCTCTGTTCCATTAAGACAACAGCCGGCAACCTTGAAGGTGCCCTCTGTGCACTTCCCTGGGCTCCCGGGAGACCGCAGAGCAAGGCTGCAGGAAGGGGCTTTATGAAATACCAGCCCGCCTCTGGAATGAGTCTCCACCTCACTGGTGGCCACAGAGCCACAGGTGCCACACAGGTTGCCCTGTCAAGGAGCCTTGTCTAAGTTTTATTAAAATCTTTCTGAAAATTTCATCCTTTTCCTCCTGGAAGCCAGTTGGACTAGGCACCGCTGGCCTCTTCCATGCTGGAATGATGGTGTGACCTTGAACTCAGCCTTTGTGTGTGCCCACAAGCCTGCTCTGGGGACCAGGGCCACCTTCTCTGCAGGGCCCTGGCTGCTGCCCTCAAACCCCTCTGGTTACACCTCTCCTCCCCACCTGCTCCATCACCTCCTGAGCCAGGAGGACCCTCTCCCCTGACCCACCAGGTGGTGGACGTGCGTGTGTCCATGTCCCTCTCCAGCTTGTCCCCTGGGGATGCCAAATCTCAGGTGGAACCTTTACCCTGAAGACTGCTTTGCTGAGTGAGCTCAGTCCTGGCGTCCAGGAGACAGCCCTCTGGGTGCCCCAGGCTCTCCTCCTTCCTCCAGCGCTGCCCATCCCACAGAGCATTGCTGCCTGACAGCTGTGTCCTGGACCCTCTGCTGAGCTCCCTCGCTGGCCTGCTCTGGAAGGTCGTTAGCCAGGAATCACCCCCTCTGACCCTCACTCTGTGTGCGAAAATGAATACGCAAGTCGTGGTTCTGACGCGATCTTTTCACACACAAGAGCCACGGCCCAGAGACTGGTCTGTGCCTGCTCGCCCTCCAGCTCCCCATCGAAACCCACCTACGGTCCAGTGCTGTCTCCCGTCGCCATCTGCAAGCCAGGCCACTGTGCACACCAGACCCCTGGGCCCGTCACACTAACACCACGCACCACACAGACACCAACGCCCCAGTGACACCAGGTTGATGCCATGCTTATGCCACCATAAAGTCACACTGACACCATACACCATACAATCCATACAGTGCCATGTTGACATCATACACCCTGCCAACACGACGCGAATGTCAGGCCGACGCCATTCACCATGCTAACAGCACGCTGACCACACTGGCGTGCCGGGCTAATGCCCCCAGCCGGCACCCAGCCTCTGCAGACTTTCAGGAGCACCAGGGCAGGCGCCCACATGCCACGCCTGACTCCAGCGTGAACTGAACCTGAACCTTATTGGCACAAATCAACAGGGGCTGAGAGGAGCCACGGAGGTGGCGTCAGGAGTTGAGCTCCCACGCGGGTCCTGACACCCTCTCAGTGGGAGGCAGTCGGACATGAGCCTGTCCCCAGTGCCGCACGACACTCCTACCAGCGGCCACACTCTTCCACAGCTGCAGTCCCACAGAGCAGATACCTCGACAGACTCGGAAAGCTTCAAGCCTTCGTGACAGATGTGCTGGGTCCCATGACAGAAGCGCTCCAGCAGAGAGCAACAGCCACGCTGTCACGCCCCGTCAGCGGCCACCCGGGCCACCCGCTGACTGGACCTCTCCAGTGTCTCCACACCCGTCACAGCTTCCTCACCACTTCTTCATTTAAAATGCAAGTCCTTCAGGCCACTTCCACCAGAAGGCGGACGGTCCACCCTGCAGAGAGCCCTCGCATACACAGTCCCCGGTGCACTGGGCGGCAGAGATGTCCTGCTCCTTCACCATGACACAGTACATATCGGGCATCGTGGCACAGGCCGACCCAGCCCAGCACAGGCACAAACAGGACCTGCACGTCTGTTCTGAAGGCTGAGGCAGGAGGATCGTGAGTTCAAAGCCAGCCTCAGCAACTTAGTGAGGCTCTAAGCACTCCGTGAGACTCTGAGTTTATTTTTATATTTAAATACAGTATTAAAAAGGACTGAGGGTGTGGCTCAGTGGTCACTTCCCCTGGGTTCAATTCCCAGTACCAAAAAGAAAAGTGAAATCTAAAGTGACAAAGTAAAAGCATTGTTTAAAGGAGGAGCAGATTTCCACACTTCCCTGGGAGGATCTGACAGGACTGGCTAGAGTGGGGACAGGTAAGCACGAGCCCCCAGGACCTGGCCACCAGCTGGGACTGGGAACCACCCAGAGCACTGACCTTCATCAGGTTGCCCCTCCTCCCCACAACTGGGCTGAAGGCAGCTGCTTCCCAGGGCGCCTTTAATAAAGCTCACTGCATCTCCGCTGAGCTAATCTAATCACTCAGGTGAGTGACTCTCTCCATTTACACCAGCTGCTTTCTGATGGCGCTCCCAAACGTGTCAACCACCACACAAATCAAACAGGGCACAGCGGCCCCCGCAGTGACCCTCCCTGCTTAATTAAACTGCTTCTAGCAGTGACCTGGATGGCGGGCGCTGTCCCCGGCACCACACCATGAAATCTGCCAGGAGCTAGCTCTCCCCAGGCAGCCCTAGCCACCCTCCAGCCTCAGAGGCCACCGTGCCTGCAGAAGATGCTGCTCAAGGGCACCGCGATGGTGGAAGGCAGGCTGAGGTGGGGAGGCAGAAGCCGTGTGCTTTTTAATTATTGCAGATCTCACCTGAAAAAACGGTACCTCTGTCAGAGTTAAGGGATGACTAATAGTTTCTCTCCCCATGCATCTGGCAGAGCGGTGCCCAGAATTATGATAATTGCCCCTTGTCTATACATACTGTCTTTCCTCCAAAGTCTGAATCTTCCAAAGATTGCTTCAATTTATCGTTCAACACTGCCGAGGGCAGAAAAAAAGTAATATTAGTGGGTCAGACAAATAGATCCATTTGATAGGGGTTAACCAGAGAAGAGGTAAAAGTCCCTCATCACAAGTCTAGCATTTTACATGGTGGTCAAGTCAGGGAGGATTCAAATTGTCCTCTAGAGGTGCATTAGTTGGGGTAACAAACTCTGAAACAAGTGGCTTTGCCCACGGAAACCTACCTGCTGTTCAGATCCCAAATGGACATGTCACCTCCTTGCAGTGACCCAGGGACCACGGGCACTCCAACCTGTGGGACTGCCAGGGCATCCATGGAGCCCTTGGCTGACCTCTGCATTCAGCTGGCCCTGGGGCACAGGCCAACAGCATGAAGGGCCCATGATGGGCAAGGACTGGGCACACAGCACTCACTGCCGCCCTCGCTGTTGGCCAGAACCCCATCTCCTGGCCATGACTGACGGCAGAGGAGGCTCGGCCACAGAGTAGGCAGGACAGCCAGGAGCCTCCAGCCCAGA